ACAACCCAATAGCTGGGTCAAAACAACCCAATAGCTGGGTTTGTCCCTTTTTAACCCAGCATTTTTTAGAGTGTGTGCTAATACGATTATTTTAATTACTGTAGTAAATTTTTTTGTTCCAATTTCGAGGTGAAATATTGCCCGGATGTTTCTTCCTTTGCCCTCCAGGTATGCATACCTGAAATGTAGGTGTGTGTATCCATAAGCCAGTCAGCTGAGAGCACTGTAATCCTGAAGGAAAAGTTTTTCCTATTTCCACAGAACTCGCAGAGCGAGAGGAAGCAATAGGCAGCGAGCCAGAGACCACACACACTGGAGAGCAGGTAACTTACTGCGTTCTTCAAATATTAACAGATCTAAAACATCAGTATTCATCTACTGTGACAGTTTGTTCCGTTTAGACCCTAGCAGTTGCCGTTGTTTGCATAAAATATTTTATCTTGTGATTTAAGTGTTTATAACAAGTTCATTCTTTGTACTGGATTTCTAGGCGTTGTATTTCATGTCGTGTTTTCATTCATCTTTACCTGGGCGAGTCTCGCGAGTCGGTCTGAACTTCGGCACTAATTGAGACCAGCGGTCAAAGTCAGGATTTTCTTTAGATTATACACTAAATTTCGGTTTCTTTTTCACCAAACCCTATCGTGTACCCCCAGACGGCACGTGTCGCATTCTGTGGTAATTTTGCGTTTAAAAAAAGGCTTGAAAATCTCCTTTTGTGGTGCAAAAAGAGAAGAAAGGGCATAAGGCATTATAACAAAACCAGGGCCAGCAAATTTCTTAATTTAAATTTTTGGGTGAAGTAGTATCCCTTTATAGTCTGCGCGACTTGTGCATTCATTGATATACAAATAAATAAGGAATGTTATGTATAAATCCCGCATGAGTATATTTCAAGTGTTTTTTGGCATAAATGCAGAAGTTGATACCCATCAGTGATGTGTTCTCGTGTTGACTTACAGGGTGTGTCAGCTGTTAAACTTGCTTTACAGGTTCAGCTGTCTGTTTTCATTGTGAGCCGTAGACGTGAAGAGAAAGAAGAGCTGCTTTTACTGAGATCATACGAACCTGTAGAAAAATGGTGCTATGGTACGATAGCGAAAATATAATCTTTGTCAGTACTGTGGAACTACACGATCACGGTATGTTTCCAAAACAAATATGGCGTTTCCATAGTTTTGTTTTGGATGGAAATTCACCAGGGGGTGTCCCCAGGGGGCGCTAGAGTGCGACAGGAGCATGTTGTTATAACCTGGTAATGACTATGTTATTAACATGTAAGAGCGATGAAGAAACATAGATGAACGAGCATGGCGTGCTTGATGATCATGAAAAGCACATAGTAAAATGCGTATTCCGGTTGCTGAGCCACCTTCAGTGCCAGTGTGAAAAAACACACCTGGACATCGTTAAATCAGTATTAGCCTACTGTGCCAAGTATGCTTTCTGTGTTGCCAAGCAATCATTCTGCTAAACATTGCTGAATAAAGACGGAAGTCACCGTTCCAACTTAATAAAAGTTTCCCCTGGTATAATTTTTAACCCGTAGCCTATTTCTGTCGACTGAACCAGCCATGCCATTAATTATGAATTAATCATTTGAGTCGGTCTTTTCTTTGCACTAAACTGGCCAAGCAGGTTTGCAAAACAGTCTTGAGTCCATTCGCATTCGTTTGCCCACTCTCTCGATGAATCACCTGAAGCGGTTTCTCAGTCAGTAAAACAGACGGTATCGAGATCCTCAAGAACACAGAGAAGCAGCAGCGCTGGACGAAGTGGATATTTCACCAATAAACAACTGAAACAAAAGGCTACTTTCTGAGAGGTAACGGATAAGATCAAGCTATGTCATGTGAATAAGAGTCCATTCACACTTGAACCCCCGGTTTCACAGACAAGGCTTAGTCCTAGTCTAAAATGTAAATCTGAGCTGTTTCAAATGAAAGAAACTTGCACTGACTGATCTTAAATATATCAGTGCCTTTGTTTTGTCTCAAGATGCATGCCAGTAAAGGTGCGTTTATAAAAATGACTAAATGTCCTAATTGATCTATGACCTAATCCTGGTTTAGTCTGTCTGTTAAACCAGTGTTGGTTAAACCAAAGTGTTATTGTGTCTACTCGCGCTGCGCTCAATTGTTTTCCTACGTGAACATGCACTAAAGTGAAGTGACATGTGGCCAAGTATGGTTACCCATACTAGGAATTAGTGCTCTGCATTTAACCCATCCTAAGTGCACACACACAGCAGTAAACACACACACACCGTGAACACACACCCGGAGCAGTGGGCAGCCATTTATGCTGCGGCACCCGAGGAGCAGTTGGGGGTTCGGTGCCTTGCTCAAGGGCACCTCAGTCGTGGTATTGAAGGTGGAAGAGAGCGCTGTACATTCACTCCCCCCACCTACAATTCCTGCCGGACCGGAGACTCGAACTCGCAACCTTTGGGTTATGAGTCCGACTCTCTAACCATTAGGCCACGACTTCCCCCCCTAGGTGGGTTTGTTGTACAGTTTCGTTGCTTTTTGCATTTCTGTGCCATTTTTTAAATGTTTAAAACATGTGACACCTGAGCTGTTGCTGATCATCTGGTCTGACGAGTCTCAAGTCTTAGGAGTTACATACTGTGCAGTCCTTCAAGGCTTGACAAAAGAAAGTGAGAACCTCTCTCTGAGCTGTTTTTTTTTTTTTTAAACATGAACACCCGTGCATTTTTCACTCATGTTCATCATGACAGTGTACCTTTTTATCGGTAACAGACCTCATGAAATTTCGCCAAAAATATTGCACCACAACTTCATTTCTTACTATCAATAAATTTAATAATTTTTGTTGCTCTGTTTATTTACCTGTCCATGTAGTAACCGTTTTATAAAAGCAATAAGCCACATGAAACCCTGGTTAACAATTTTTAGAACAGCAACCTTTTGTTCTTTAACAACCCATTAGCTGTTGTAAAATCACTGTACACCGCAGCTTCTCGCTTTAATTAGTTAATCATATGTATCTGAATACTGGATCCGTGATTGGGTCTTAAAGTGACAGCAGCCTAAAATACACCCGCTGCAATTTATGTATAGTATTGAATACTAACTTACTAATATTCCTACTTGAAAAATGCCCTGTTTATTTCGATTGTATATTTGTTCTATTTTGTTTGTAAATATATCAAAACTTAATTTTTGATTAGTAAAATGCATTGCTAAGAACTTCATTTGGACAACTTTAAAGATGATTTTCTCAATATTTTGATTTTTTTGCACCCTCAGATTCCAGATTTTCAAATAGTTGTATCTCAGCTAAATATATCTCAGTTGTATCTCAGCTGTCCTATCCTAACAAACCATACATCAATGGAAAGCTTATTTATTCAGCTTTCAGATGATGTATAAATCTCAATTTTAAAAAATTGACCCTTATGACTGGTTTTGTGGTCCAGGGTCACATATACATTGTGTCAGAAAGGAGGCCCTGTTTAGACAAATTCTTGATCATTACAGTAGTTCCTGTTTTCACATGTGTTTTAACCCCTGAAGTGTTCATCAAACCCCATCTCTCTCTCTGTCTGTCAGATGAACGGGTCAGTTGGGCCGATGCGTGTGTTTCTCTCTGTCTGTCAGATGAACGGGTCAGTCGGGCCGATGCGTGTGTTGGTGACAGGCGGCAGTGGGCTGGTGGGGCGAGCGATAGAGCGGGTGGTGAAAGAGGAGAGTGGAGGGAGAGAAGGAGAAACATGGATATTCCTGTCATCCAAAGAGACCAATCTTGTGTAAGAAACACTCATCAGACGTCACACACATAACACAATCATTAAAATATGCCATAACACTTATTGTATAACATGCATTTTATATATAATGTAAGCTTTCAATAAGAACTTTACATTAATCAGATAATCGCAAGAAGCTGATCACACCAAAAGAGCTCCACCCTCTGTCATGAAGCGCCTAGAATGGCATTGAGTCAGTCACCCTATGCTCTGAATTTGAAATATCTGTGTAAATAGGAATATTTTGCAATGAATGTAAAATATGTTGTTTCTATATACACAACCAACATCTTTATATAAATAGTTTTATATTCATCCATCATTTTAATTTGATTATTTGCAGTGCTTCACAAGATTTTTTCACTCATCATTAATGTTCTTACTTGGCTAGTAGCACTTCAGCTCATGAAGTTGGTTAATAAATGTCCAGAAGGGGCAGAGCTGGCATTTAGACAAAGAAGAAGCTCCAACTTAAGTGCTTTTATTTGTGTCACAATGGTAAATATATTTACACGTGCTGCTTTAGGAGCACTGAAGAGACGAGAGCAGCCTTCGAGAGACATCGTCCGACACACGTTATTCATTTGGCCGCCATGGTGGGAGGACTCTACAGAAACATGAGACAAAACCTGGACTTCTGGGTAATTATTAACATTAAGTAACAAGGTTGGAAATATCACTGTTAAATGATTGCACTGACTGTATATTGATTGTATGGGCTTCTTGTTTTCAGAGGAATAATGTGCACATCAATGACAACGTGCTGCACACGTCTCAGGAGTTCGGGGTGGTGAAGGTCGTTTCTTGTCTGTCTACGTGTGTTTTTCCAGATAAAACCACCTACCCTATAGATGAGACCGTGGTAAAGCACACACACACACACACACACACACACAC